ATAGTTTCACAGTTCCACAGGGAGGCCTCACAATAATGGCAGAAGTTAAAGGAGGAGCAAAGGCACATCTTACATGGCAGCAGACAAGAGAGCATGTGCTCTTCATAAAAGAACCATCCTTTATAAAACCATCAGATCTCATGAGATATATTCACTAACAAGAGAACAGCACAGGAAAACCTAGCCCCATGATTCTCACCGTGTCCCTTCCAAGACACATGGGGATTATGGGAACTACAATTCAAGATGAGATTTGGGTAGGGACACAGCCAAACCATGTGACTACCTCATAAAGCTTGGGGAAAAGTAAGATAATGGAAAAAATTTTAAATGTAACATAATGCTTAAAGTATGGTTAGTGTTTAATCAATGCCAATTTTTATCTTACTTCTTTTAATTTACTGGACGAATTGCAGAAATTGGTTGAGAGTGCTCTGACAAGATTATTTAAAGTTAGAGAGAAAAGTATATTGCATTTGAAAGTTAATGTATGTAAGGTGCTAAGAAATTGCCTGGTGTATACAAAACATTATGTAATCATTTGCTATTCCTTTTTTCTAACTGTATTTACAGAAAATATAAAATCTGACATTTAAGCTCAAAAAAATAACTATTCATGGAAAGGATAGCTGAACTGTATCCTGACAATGTGTAGACAGGAGTTGGAGTGGGAGTGGTGGAATCTAAGTTTTATTTGATAGCAAACTCATTATAAACCAATAGTATAATGTGACCCAGAAAAAGCTAAAATGACCAGATTACTTTGATATACAAAGCAGTGGTGATGCTAATTTTTCTCTTTGGTTTTTGGCCAAGCCTTACCCAATACACAATTTTCTTTTCTGGCTACCACACTTTTGGCTGCTTCTTGGAAAATTAATGTACTCTTCTCAAAAAGCAGTCAAAATTTAAGGGGCTGGAAAGTACTCTGCATGTGGAACAACTTAGGATTAGAGATAAGCATTCTCAACATCGTAGCGAGAGTATTTAAGGGGGAAATTTCCAGTGATTCTCAACTTGTTAAAGGCTTTCAGAAAAACCTAGTGTTTAAAATGATTGGAAAGTTAAATCATACATTATATGAGTTATTTCCATTTTTGGAAGTATTTAAACCAAAAATGTTTATTCACTTAGGTTAAATTAGAGACTATTTATGCATTTATTTAGTGGTTGAAAAGTTAGTTGTTGAATAAATTCATTAATTCCAAACTGTGTTTGGTTTAACTTTTTTTCATGACAGTGATAGAAGCTTATTGAGTAATATAACTTTTATCAAATAGATCTGTATTTCCCAATTGTTGAATATTACTAAAATGGACTTAGAGTAAGTTATTTTTCTCCTAGAAATCTAAATTCCAAAATGTTATTTTGTGTGATAAATGGCCAATGGGACAGGTACCTAAATTGCCAGATGAATTTGAGTATTTACAATATATTAGTTAATATAATAGTACTATATTGAGTATTTTTTATTTTTACAATATATTAATCCTTTAGCTCCTCTTGTTTTTAAATGAATGACTCCATTACAACTGAGAACACACACTGGAAGTTATTTTACTTTAATAGTGTATACAGAGCAAAGAGATTTCTAATACTCCACATATATTAGTTTTTATTATATTATTTTGCTTCATTTTTCTCAAAACTATTATATATTTACAAACCATACAAATATGATTTTATTTCTGTATTATAAGAGTATTCCATATTTGAAATCAAAATCAATTTCTCCATTACATGTCAAATCCATCACCAATCCCCATGAACAATTCTCTCAGAACATATATTGAAACTAATTCTTCATATCTCCATAGCTATCACATGAGTCCTATTCTCTATCTTCTCTTATGTGAACTTTGAAATGTTTGATTACTCCCATTTTTATCTCCTCATCCATTAATCCCATTGTATCCCCATCCATCACTGAGCAGTGCTGTTCTCTAAACTGGCCACATTTGTTTGGTCTCCTTACCATTCCCTCTGGCTGGAAAGTCAGTGCTAGGCATCTTTGGCTCCTTCTGCCATTGAAATCCTGTTTATCATCTCCTCTGTAATTATTTTTTTGTTCTGTTTATTATTTATTTCTTTTCTTTTTTTTTTTTTTTTTTTTTGAGACCGAGTTTCGCTCTTGTTACCCAGGCTGGAGTGCAATGGCGCGATCTCGGCTCACCGCAACCTCCGCCTCCTGGGTTCAGGCAATTCTCCTGCCTCAGCCTCCTGAGTAGTTGGGATTATAGGCATGCGCCACCATGCCCAGCTAATTTTTTGTATTTTTAGTAGAGACGGGGTTTCACCATGTTGACCAGGTTGGTCTCGATCTCTCGACCTTGTGATCCACCTGCCTCGGCCTCCCAAAGTGCTGGGATTACAGGCTTGAGCCACCGTGCCTGGCTATTTATTTCTTATCACTAGAATGTATAAGCACTATGGGAGCAGAACCTTGCTCACAGCTGTTATCTCTGGCACCTGGAACAGTGCCAATTACGTAGTAAGATCTTTCAGTAATGTCATAGGAATATCAGCCGACTGAGGGACTTCTGAAATCCCACAAGGTGCATAGAAAATAGAAGACTACTAGGAAAATTAATTTAGACCAAATTCAGTGTTATATTACCTTGCATGTTTCTTTAGCCATTAGACAGCAAATTTAGAGACTAGCAAGCTAGACAAATGTCTGTGCTATCTCAGTGTAGATGTTTATTCTTCCTCAAACAATAGCCTATGGCACCATGCTGAATATGACATAAAGTTAAAGCAAACAAACAAAACAGTAACAAAATATTGCATAGCCTTCTCCCTGAACAGGCATTAATTCTTTTGCTCTGTCCATCCTTTGCCTCGAGTCAAAAAAAAAGAAACGCTATCTTCCTCAGCTCTTAATTTTTCCTTCATAGCCTATGTCTAATCCATCAGTATATCTTGGGAGATGTATCTTCAAAATATATCCAAAATACGGCTACTTCTCAAAATCTCTGCTGGTACCATCCTGGTCCAAAGCATCATCATCTCTCACCTGGATTTTTGCAATAGTTCCCGATGTGTCTCCCTGCTTCAACTCTTGCCCCACATTAATATATTTTCCACGTAATGGCTCAAGTCATTTATTAAATCATTAGTCAAAGGTCATGTCTCTGTTCAGGATGCTCCAGTTTTTCCCTTCTCAGAGCAAAATCCAAACTCTTTAGAGTGGCCTACAGGGGTCAACCTTATTTGGTCTCGTTCTAACTTTCTGACCTCACATCCTGACACCTGCTCTCTCCCTGTGACCAAAGTATACCAGCTGCCTTGCTGTTCTTTGAACCTGACAAGAATATCGTCACTTCAGTGCCTTTCACTTGCCATTTCTTCTTTCTTGCCTGCACTCTATTTCCACTTGGTTTATAACCTTATTTCCTTTGTATGCAATGAATGATATTTACCACCAAATAATGTAAATATGATCTAGATATTTATTAGAAAATAGTGATAACTTTATCTTAGTGTGTGGTCTAATGTAGGGTTTAAGACAATAGATTTTTTAGCCCACATGTTTGGATTGAAAACCCAGCCCTGCCACTTAGAGGTTTTGCTCTAAATTCTTATAAATCTCCACAGCGCTTTTGGTAAAATAGATACAAATAGTCATCTCATTGAGTTACTCAGGAGGTTAAAAAAGATATTATAAAGTGCTCCTCTGGCTCATAGTAAATGCTCAATTAATACCATTATTAGTTTATGTAATTCCTGCCTAATATTTGTAATTGTATTGACATATAATCAGGTTAAAAATATAATATGCATATTAATACTACAAGTTTCTCCATGCCGATAAAAAGTCTTAAAAGGTCAAAAAATTTTGAATCCTATGTATACAATGACATGCATTAGAAATGCCATAATTTAACCATCACTTTCAGTTCTCTTTTATGATTACATTTTAATATGTATCACCTGAATATGGCATCCTCTTTTTTGTAATTAAATATTTTATTTATTAGCTGAGCATGGTGATTACTTCCTATATCCCAACTCCTTGAAAGGCTGAGGTTGGAGGGTTGCTTGAGTGCAAGAGTTCAAGGCCAGCCAGGACAATACAATGAGATCCTATCTCTAAGTAAGAAAAAAAAGAGTCGAAAATATTTTGTTAGTGTAACTTTATTATTAGTTGAATGGATCTGAAACTTATTTTTGACTCCTATGAAATATATCCATTGCTTTTTACATTAATGGTTTGAATTTATAGTGCTATAATATAAAAAAATACACATACTAGATCCATTTTTGTTGATTAGAAAAAACACTGAGAAAAAAACATCTGATTAGTGCTAAATGAATCAAGGACAACATTTATAGTTATTTAATCCATTTGTTATTAGCATCAGGACAAACTAAAGTACATAATGTCCAAGTTACTTCTTTAAATCCATATAATTGTTAAATCTTTGTATTAAATAGCTGTTTACTCACAGTATATTTTTAACCAGAACGAATTAATAAGAAACAATAGAATATCAGAAATTGTTGGTATTTGATAATTTCTTTAAAAATTAAGAAGTAGCTGTATGCTGAATTAGTATTTACAGATCATGAAGAGCATAAATACATTGTTTGAAATTGATGTATATAGATACAATGGTGTGCCTCTAAAAATTATAACTAGAAAAAATTGAAATTTGTATTTCACCTCAAAACTGTTGCACCTCTTTGATCACTTTGCAAATCTGCCTTTTTCTTTCTCATCCAGAAGGTAAAATGACTGATTGATTCAGTTACTGTACTGTTAACCATTCTACAGATATCTTTTCATTTAAAACTTTGGTACATGAATACTATCCTGCTGAAAAGTAAATGATTGCAATGTAGCACAATCTAGCTATAGAGACAAAAGGAATGAATACATGTTATTCCTATTTAATATGACTATTTTCTCTAATATTTTACTTAACTGAATCAATCAAAACCTGTAATAAGTTAGCTTATGCATAACAATACTCATTATTATATTTTCTGACTTTCAGTATAAAGAACGTAACTCCAAAAGTAGGAGACCCTGAGACTCGTAAAGCTATTCGCCGTGCCTTTGATGTGTGGCAGAATGTAACTCCTCTGACATTTGAAGAAGTTCCCTACAGTGAATTAGAAAATGGCAAACGAGATGTGGATATAACCATTATTTTTGCGTCTGGTTTCCATGGGGACAGTTCTCCCTTTGATGGAGAGGGAGGATTTTTGGCACATGCCTACTTCCCTGGACCAGGAATTGGAGGTGATACCCATTTTGACTCAGATGAGCCATGGACACTAGGAAATCCTAATCATGATGGTAAGTACATGTTTGTTTTGCATATGAATATTCCTATTATTATTTCAGAATACTCAAGACATTTAAAAATTTACAAACTTAAGGTATAGATCCTAAATTTACTTTTAAAATTACAAAGCAATATGTAAGCCTTTTCATAGCATGTTAGGATAAGAATTTGTGTGGGTCATTAGATGATATAGTTCTATGTGTTCTTTTGATTAAAGATTAGAACATTATGCTATATCATAAATTTTGTTTTCTTCATAATGTGATTTCTTAAAAGATTTTATAGTCAGTTTTAAGTCATGAAATATGTATTAAGAAAATTCTGCTGTTTGTTTACACCTTATGTCAGTGTTTCTACTTGTAATTTAATCCTGACTAACATCTGTAGTCTGGTTTTTACTATATTTTCTCTACATTATTTTCTACTCTTTTTTTCTTCTTCTTTGTTGAGATGGAGTTTCACTCTTGTCACCCAGGCTGGAATGCAATGGTGAGATCTTCGCTACTGCAGCTCTGCCTCCTGGGTTCAAGTGATTCTCCTGTCTCAGCCTCCTGAGTAGCTGGAATTACAGGTGCCTGCACCACACCAAGCTAATTTTTGTATTTTTAGTAGAAATGGGGTTTCACCACGTTGGTCAGGCTGATTTTGAACTCCTAACCTCAGGCTATCCACCTGCCTCAGCCTCCGAAATTCTTGGGATTACAGGTGTGAGCCACCATGCTCACCCTGTTTTCTAATCTATTATCACCTTTCTAGTCTATAATTTTTGTGGGCTGGGCACAGTGGCTCACACCTGTAATCCCAACACTGGGAGGCCAAGGCGGGAGTATCCCTTTAACCCAGGAATTCAAGACCAGCCTGTTTGTTTTTTAAAGAGACTTTCATCTGTTTTTAAAAATAAATAAAATTAAGAAAACATATATACACACGTAAATTTTTGCTCCTTCTCTTTTGTCTCTCATCCATTCCATTGGTCTCCCAATCTTGTGACACTACATGATTTATTATATTTTCATTACATCTTTTACATCTTTTACGTTACATCTTTTACATTTACTTTCATTACATCTTTTCATTACATTTTTACCAAAAATCAATTTTTCCAACTCTATCCCAACATATTCATCAGTTTTCTAAACCTTACATTTATTCTAATATGCAAAAATAATATACAAATCAGAAACCTCAATAATTTTTAGTTACCTAATATGAGAATAATTACTTAATTTAAAAGGCATATATTTCTTCATAGTCAGCAATGCACATTTCAGTTATGTGTTTTAAAAAATTCACAGTTACAGGATCGTAGAATTATAAGATTTCTATATAGCCATATCTCTAATTTTTATTGTCAAGGCTTATTTTTCTTCTTCATGATTGTAGAATGTTGTTCAACTATAAGTGTTTATTGCTTTAATGACAACAAATCACATAATAAAACTCTTAATTTCACCTGATGAGTTGACCCTAGACATGGTATTAAGCTTTGCTTGTTTATAAGAAGGTTCAGTTAGCTGGATTAGTGTAATTAATAGCCTTGCAGTTTTATGATACCCAGGGTTCTCTCATGTTTTGGGTAGGATAAATTAGGTTGAGTTAAATTTAAAATAATATCAATTTCAAAGAAAAATATAATAACTGTTCATGTTTTCTAAAATAAAATATGTAGTAGTGATTTTTTCAAATGATTATTAATAGTTGTACATGCTATAATATGAAATTAGTAGTTTTAAGAACTGGTTTGAAGACTAGGGGAGATTTTAGTATTATAGAATGAAGAGCCAAAAACTTAGAAGTCAGACAGACGTATGTTTACATGCTGGCTAATTATTAGTTCAAAAAGGTATAGACTTGTTTTTACTATGTTGTTTTTCATGCTGGTCTGTATGCATTAGAAGTGTGTTTATGCAGGCATGTTTAACCTACTCTATACCTGAGCATCTAATGATAAAATATCTGGAACATGGTAGATGGGAATTACCAGTTTGACATATAAATCATTTTAAAAAATGTTTTATTTTTTCAAAATCAAACAGGTATTCTAGTTAAGTAGTTCAGACTTCAAGTTAATCTGAAAATTATTTTAAGTAAAATAAGAAACACTTGGCATTCTAAATGATTGAGAAGAATAGCAGTTATAGTGGTAGAATTTTACTGACACAGACTGCATTTACTTTCAGTGAAAAGATTTTCTTTTGATATTCTGAAAAGATAAAGTTGTTTTTTATTGCAATAGTGGATCTAATTATTAAAACAATTAAAAATCTATAGTTTTGAAGATGTGCTAATTTAGCTTAGTGACCTCTTAAATTTAAAATTATTAAAACCCTAAATGAAAGAAATGTCTATCAAGTTCTCTGTATTTTGTCTTAAAATATTGACATCCTCCATGATAAAACAATCCTCCTGCCTTAGCCTTCTGAGTAATTGGAATTACAGTCTTCTCTGGTTTTTAGGCATCAACCAACACTCTGAAAATAAAGAAAATATTTGGGAAAAAAATCTACAGGGAGATTTTATGACAGGAGATGATAATATTTACACAGATTTGAATGTGATCCGTGCTTAGAATGCTTATGTGTTTTGCATGATTTAAGAATTTTTCCAAGGAATGTGTATGTGGGGAAAATTTTGAAATATGACATGGACTAAAGGCATACAATCAAGACAATGCACTTTTTCCTGAGAGTATTCATCAGTCTACTTCCGGAATTTGCTAAGTATGCGTCTTAACATACTCTAGAAGTGTAATATTCTTTACACATAGGCAAATGACCGAAAAATCTAAATAAAACAATTACTTAATATTTGAGTTTTTATTTGGAGAAAACTATGTCTTTACCTGTCTAACAAAAACATTTTGCTGGTGAATGAGCCTAAAGGAAAGGATTCTGCAAAATAATAATGTTTCAGAATTTCAAGAGATTAGGGAGACAATAATTGACTGTTGGAGATGTAATGCCATAAAGATTTACTGCTTAATTGAAAGGCAAACTTTTAACCAGCAACAGCAGGGTAGCTAGAGTAGTGTCAGGCTGAAGTATTGATCATATATCAAAAGAACAGCCTCTATCTTTGCTTGTGGTACTGGTGAATGTGGGGAGAATTAATTCATTTGTACATCCTTGATTCTAACTATGTGTGAGACTATCTTTTTGTATCACAAATACACATGGCACAATTCTGACGTCTTCATTGATAAACTTTTTCTTTTCTTTAATCTAGTCCTGGAATGCCCCCTGGCTTACTTGCCTGAATTATTTTCTTTCTCTTCTATTCACAGCTCTTGAGCAGCTAAGAAACAGAGCAGCTTGTTTATTTAGCAAAAATGCAAATGAGAGAGCCTCTTGATAAGTACCCAGCACATTTTCCACAGCATATTGCTCAGCTAATGATGGCAATTTGAATTCTGTCTACCTTAAAAGAGATAAACAGTGTCTTAGGCTGCCAGTAACCTTTAATTCATTGTTATCTACTTTCCTATCAATTTGCTAACAGTCAATACCTTTTGAAAATTCAAGCTGAAGACCATTAAGTGAATTACGAAACAGTTTTATTAAAATAAACACATTCACATGCACACACACACACACACACACACACATATATATGTATACACAACCCTAATAAAAATAATGCCTTTTTTAAGAGGTTTTATTTTCGTGGAATGAATCAGCAAAACAGTTAACATCGTTAACTCTTTTAAAACATGGAAATTAATCAAAATAGAAACTATCACAATAGTGGTTTTGAGAAATATACATTGCCTGAATGCGAGTTGGAAAATTTAACACCATGTTCAGATTCATTTTGAGCAACAATGGACATTGTTTCCTTGTCTACAGTATAAAGTTTAAATGGTGCTATTACTGTACACACAAACATATCACAAAGATTCTTCCTAATTAGACAAGTGTCTATAGCAGTAATATAATTTTAAACAGATACTCTCGAATTGAAACAGGTTATCTATTAAAATAATATATAAAACTTTTGACAGAAAAATATCTAGAGGCATATCCTATTTTACCACTTAATTGCAATTTTGTTAAAAATAATACATTGCGGTGACTCTGCTTATTGTCAGGAAGTTCACTGCCTAACATAAGGAGATAACCAGCAAGGTTATCAGTGCGTTGTAGCAGGCTATCAACAAAACAAAAAGAGAAAAATGATGATAAAAAATGTCGTCTGAGACATCAAAACCCTTAAATTCAATTCATCATTAACTGTGAAGTGATGGACATCTACATCCAAGCCCACTCATTCCTGAATACACCTAATTTAAGTTAAATATGTTCATAGTGTGATACTTGAGTCAATAAACCGGACTTAGGCTGACTTTAGCTTTCTGTAACTGAGGTGTCCATTTCGTGCCATTCTACAGAAAACACCTGTATAGAAGTAAACCTAAGTCTTCAGAAGGTTTACCTCTGCACAGTTTTACCTCAGGTTTGCCTTCCCAAACTTTCCTGCTCATTTTGCAGCTACACTGCTATAGAATGTTTCTAGAGGCCTATAGAATCTGAACTTTGATATTTGAGGAAAGAAAGAGTTAAATACTGCATTAATCTATTCTTACACTGCTATAAAGGACTACCTATGACAGGGGAATGTAGAAAGAAGAGAGGCCTAATTGACTCACAGTTCTCCATGTTGTATGGGAGATATGGCTGGGGAGGCCTCAGTGAACTTAAAATCATAGTGGAAGGGCTAAGGGGAAACAGGCACATCTACACATGGTGGCAGGACAGAGGGAGAGAGAGTGAGGGGAAAAGTGCTACACACTTTTCGATCAGATCTCGTTAGAACTCAGTCACTATCACTAGAACAGCAAGGTGCAAATCTGTCCACATGATCCAGTCACCTTCCACCATGCCCCTCCTCCAATACTGAAGATCAGCTACCAACTGGATATTTACAAAGATGCCTATCAGTCAATGCCACAGACTGTGGGAATATTGTCTAGATTCCTCTGTCCTGGAGTTTTTGAAAAGGGAAGGACTTGACG